CCCTGCCGTGGCGACGGGGTGTGTGGGGAGGGGAGCCCGCTGGGCGGGGCCTGCCCGCCTCGGTCGCGAGGCTACAGCCCGGCCGCCCCTGGCCCGGGGCCTGTCAGCTGCCCTACCGAAGGGGAAGGCGGCGCCCACCGAGGCCTGCCCGGGCACCAGGGTCCCTCCGTCGGGAAAAGGTGCTCCGGCAGCGCTTCGGGTAGGAGGCTCTTCCTTCTGACTCCGCGCCTTGGAATTGAGTGGCCGAGCCCCACCCGGGTGCACACGTGCCCGGGGAAGAGCGCTGCGTGAGCCCACCGGCGAGTCCTGCTCAGCCTTTCTTTACAATCCGTGGAATTACTGCCCCCCCCTCCTTTAAAAAGAAAAAAGGTAGCGATTCTAGGACGGAGCTGTGAGCCACAGCCCTTTATCACATCCTGGCAGCGATTGACCTAGGCAGACCCTTGAGAAAAACCTTGACACCCGAAAAATCAACTTATCCTCAGGCCAGTCCTCCTGTTTGCCCTTAATGTTGCCCATTATAATCTTTGAGGGAGATGTGATGGTCTTATTGGATTAATTGATGTAACAGGTTGTTGTTGTTTTTTGCATCACTTGAGCAGATGGATCATTTGGACCTTTGCAGGGATCCTAGCCAATCAGCTGCTTGATGGATTTATATATTCATTCTCAGTTCCGGTAGTTGGCAAGATCACTGATCTTTCTATTCTTTCCTGCACTGATAGGCTCTTTGAAACTATGTGGTCAATAGTAGGCAAGATACTAAATTGTTGAATTCTTTAAAGTACCCACTAAGGATACTGAAAGAGATGGGGTTTACCTGGTGGGGGGCTTTGAGGGCTCTTGGCATTTCCCATTTTTAAAAATCCCATCAAAATGTGCTTTGAAGCCTTTGTCAGTTTAATTAGATAGCACCGGTATAGATAGTCAACTGTTGAAAATTACTCTTAGTCTAATCTTATATGTCCTACTGCATAATGTAATATAAACTTTGTCATATGTAGACATCATTTTAAAACTCATTTGAAATGACTTTTCAAATCTTATACAGTAATTAAACAATTTGAGTGTTTTGATTTGATTGGTCTGAAAGAGATGTTAGACGCACTCTGTAGATGTCACATATTTGGTTTGGTTTGCAATAACTTATATTCTAGACCTTTGTCTCTGTTCAAACAAGATTTTGCTATTTTTGGTTAGCCAGAAAGCAGAGCAAACAGTTTTCTTATTAAGAAAGCATGGACAAATTGAGTAGGTCCTCTTTTAAGAGGAAGAATTCTATTTTTACTTTACGTTCTAGAAAAGAGTAGGAATGCTTTGCTACATTGAATATCCATTTAGATATCACGATTTCTCATATTTTAGGCCAGAGAGAAATGTGATACGAAAGAGAGACACCTTGTATTTAACACTCTTTGCTCCTTATTCTGGCAGCACAGAATAACATTTGATATACCCTGTTAACCTACTGCTTAGAACAAGGGGTAGCTGCTTTCTACTGAATGGCTCTCGGCACTTTAGGAAATCCAATGCACTTTAGCTACACAAGAAACACTAAATGATATTGCATATAGCTGTGAAATCGGCAGCTTTCTGCTCTTTGTTCTGGTCATGAGGAATTGGTAGTCCTGTTCAGGGGTCCACTGTTATCTAGTACTCCAGAGGATAGCAAACAGCCACCATTACAATGCTTCTTTGCATCTGATTCAGTTGTGGCTTGAAGGAGGAGGGCAACATATGATATGTGTTCCAATAATCTCAGAAGTTCATCCTTTTATCTGGGTTTGGGTTGTTTTTTTTGTTTTTGTTTTTTTAAAGCAAAGTCCTCTGTTAAAGTCAAGTCCTGTGACTGAAGGATTCCTCCTCTCCTTTCAGGCCTTTCACTTTGCAAATTAAGATCTTCCTTTTTGGGAGTTAACTATTTGTTGTCTACTCTACTCCTTGCTGACCAGAGGAATATTTGACAGTAAGCTGCATTTTCCATTCCATTCCAACTAATGTTATGCTGATAGGAAAAAATGAGTCTGCACACCATATTAACTTTTTTTAAAATATATTTTTGAGACTTAGTCTTGTCTAGTACCTGTTATATTTCTGTTATTTTGTAGGATTATCATTTAAATGCTTAACTGAAGAAAATTTTGTACAACAAATACATTATTTTATACACTTTTCTTTGAAATGAAACTTTAGTTGATACAAAATAAAACAAGTTCTATACTGCAGGCCAGGGTATTTGGGCCAGAAGTACCTTAAAAGTTATTTTTTGTAAGTATAAGAAAAATGTAATAGAACTGTACATACTTCAAAATTAAGATTAAAAAGAAAAGAGTAGCAACTTGAAATATTGTACCAAGCTCTGAGTCTGTATATCAGAAGTAGTAAGAATAAATAAAATTAAGGAAGCTATCTAGAACGCTGTTAAACACCAAAAAACAAATATTCAGTACCTTACTATGATGGAGGAGTTCTATCATATTTGTTTGCATATGTTTGCATGTATGTTTTGAAATACACTGAAGTGGAAGCCACTTCTTTCCTTAAATCATTCATTGATTTTCATGGATGACCAGGGGCTTAACTCAGGTGTTCTGCGCCTAAATCTAATAAATGTAAGAAGGAAGTTAGCTGTCTTTTCACTGCTTATGGTAGAAGTCATTATCTGAAATTACTTAATGGAAAGTGGATGGGTTTTGGTCCTCATTATATTGGATTATTGACAGTATCAGTGGCTCTGACAGGGATATAGTTTTTGCTGCATAATCAGAATTTTATACCAGTTGAATATTCTGTTGTCATAATGGTCCTTGTTTTAAATCTGCTTCTGATAACAGCTTACTTTTCTTTCAAAGGGAGGCTCAGAGGAAAATAGTCTTGCACATTTGCTTTTTCAGTACAGCAGCAAATGGTACATTTGTGTAGTATTATAAGCAACTTTTTTTAACCAGCCGTAGAATAGGTGATCCTAAGAAATCATACAAAAAATTGGGGAAGTCAGTATAGAATTGGGGGAGTCAGTGTAATGTAGTGTAATACTGGTGCTGCCACTGCAGAAGCTAGACGATCAAATGTCAAGCTTTTTTCTAAGGAGTCCTGCTAATTTCTGGACCTTGACCTGTGGTTTTTTTTTCTTGTTTCTTGCCTTATGGATTTCTATTTCTATTCATTGTGCATCCAACTATTGTATATCCATAGCTGAAATGAAGTAGTTTTGCAAGGTGTTGATGATCAGAGCCTGCATATGTATCAGAAGATGTATAAAGCCTAAATTCAGTTTTCTTTCTATTTTAATGGATATTTCAGCCCCACTTTCTGTAAGAAAAGTCAGTTCCAAAACACCATGCAATAAAAACAAATCATATGGGAAGTAAACAAAATGAGCATGATGGAATTGCTGTTTTCATTTGTAGAACCTCATAATTTCTAGTATCTTTTCAGTGGTGAGAGTATAGTTGCTAATGTTATAACTTCATGTCAGAATAAATGACACTGATGTGCCACATATTAAATATTTCTCTAGTAAGCTTTATATTAATATGTGTATCTCGTCTGTTTCTGCGTGGAAATAGGACCATTTACATATAGTTTGCCTCTTCCCTGCTTGCTTCGCTGTGTTTTTTCTCTGGCTCTTGCTTTGCATGGATGTGCTTTTAGGAATGCTCATCCATTACACAAAACAGGCTTGACTTTTCCACCCACAGCAATTCATTTTTAACTAGTGAGTGAGATGCAAAACTGCCTCTGTGACAACTCTAGTTTGACTGTGCCTTGACAAACTGTATAATTAAGTATTTTTGTACAGATTGTGAGAGCAAACAAATGCCAGCTCCAGAGACTTTGTGTCTGTTTTCCAGTATTGAGTTCAAGCATGTACCCATATCTAATGATATGATACATGCAGCTTATCCAAAGCGGAAGGAAAAAGGGATCTAGATGTAATTGAGAAGGACACATGGGCTATTTGAGTAATGACAGCAATCCTAATTGCATTGTGTGATGCATCATAACTTGAGAATGAGACAATTTAATAATACTGAGAGTTAGTTCAATAGTCTTAGACATTATTTTAGTGATATTCTGTTTTACATAAAAAAAACTATGACAGTTGAAAGGGTAATGATTACACTCATGTAATCATGTACAGAATCTGCTCTGTTCTACACAATTGAGGAATCTTCAGATCTTCATTCCTACTGTATGCGCAGCCATCCACTGATACTGTTACACTTTGATCATCTGCATGAAACAGACTAATACAGTGGTACCTCGGGATATGAACTTAATCCGTTCCATGACTCTGGTTGCAACT